CAGCAGCAGCAGCAGCAGCAGCAGCAGCAGTACACCGGCGCTACTACAACTACCTCTGCCTCCTCTACGGCGACCCCCTCTCCACCTCTGGGCGACATTCCTCCAGCAAGTGGCGCCCCTCTTCGTCTCTTCCTCACACGTAGTGTGAATTATCTAGGCGAGGATGATTCTGTGTCTGGAAATGAGATTGGAGTTGTTAGTGATGGGGTGGTGTCTGGTGTTCCCGTCGCTGGTATGTCTGTGCCTGATGTTCCTGTGGTTCCTGTAGTGAAGCCTGCTGTGACTTTTCGAGCCCCGGTATGCCACACTAGGATGTCAACACCCAAAGGTGGTAAGCAGTTGCAGGGAGACTCGGGGACGAGTACGGCGATATTTGGTGCGAGGGAAGGTGTTGCGTCTAAGTGTGATGTGGCTGTGTTGGGTCGTGCCGAACAAATGGATGTTGACGTTTTCCACCACCGCGCTGGCCACTTTCCCGAACCTATTGTGAGTTTGACTGCCAAGCAACAAGGGAACACCCGCCCCAGGGAGTCGGAACCCGCGACCATCGCCGCTTCGCCGCCTGCTGCCACCGCTGCGCCTTGGCCTGCCGTCGCCGCCGCCGCCGCNCTGCCACCGCTGCGCCTTGGCCTGCCGCCGCCGCCGCTGCCGCGGGGGGTACTTTCACCGGTTCGCCGACCGCTGCTGCGGCTGCACCGTGTACACCCGCGACCGCCGACGCCATTTCATCGTTGCCGTCGAACACCGCTGGTGGTGCACCATGGACTGCAGCCACCACCGCCGCCGCACCGTCGCCGCTGCCGCCAAACCCCGGGGACGGCGCGCCGTTTGCACCCTCGCCGGGTGCCGCCGCGCTGCCGGACCCGAGGATGACCGCGACGAGGACTACCGCCGCTCTGCTACCCGCCGCCGTTACCGGTGCCGCGCCGTTGCCGTCGCCGCCGACCTCCGAGGCCGATGAACCGCTTTCGCCTTCCCCAGGTGCCGCCAAGCTGCCGGGCCCGAGGACGCCCGCGGCGA